GCAGCGATTGGTTTGAATATCTGATCAACACAATTTCACGAGCAAGGTCACTCTTCTTAGAGGAGGTTAGTAATCCACACAAAAGCAGGGGGCGAGAAGAAGAGGACCTGAGGGCGAGAGTGAGAGAGAAATAAAGATGAGATCACTGAGAGGGAAAGTGAACGCCTCGCCGGCTGAGCCACAGCCTCCCTCCTTCCCGTCGCCCCCCCCCCTTTCCTACCCAGCAAACGTTTACTGAGTCACAATCATCTGTTTCGAAAGTTACGAACGAGAATTAACGAGAGTCAAACGACATCGTCACCTGCAAATGGGCTCCCCGAAGTGAGCTTTCCTGCTCTTATCATTTTTTACTTCAAGATGTGTGTAAGTAATAAGTACTTCTGTAAAGCTTATCGTTTTCTGCAGTGATTGAAACATGGTCGCTGGTTTACGACACCATTGTGGCAATCGTATGACAAAATGGAAGAAGAGAAAGGAGAATCCAGGACACGGAAAAAATTACATTGTTGTGGGTGTCAACTCTGTTTGATAGCAGGAATCTAGAAATCAATACCCACAACCAGGAGTTGGTTGTGGTTATCGGACTCTCGAATCGTGCTATCGAATTTAGCCTTGCAAGAGTTACAGTTGATCGTTGATCCCCTCAACAAAGTCTGTTTTTTTGTGGAGTTTTCCAGCTTGAACTTTTGATGTCATATTAAAAACCCCCATCGAGTTCTCCGAGCTAGCGCCCTTCTGTCGTGCTCGTCGGGAGCATCGTCCGTCATGGCCCACCTGTTTGAGAGCTTCTTGAGGTGCCACTCGGCCATGGACGTGACGACGGCGCGGAAGATCTCGGCGTCGTGGCGCTCGTCCATTGCTTCCATCTCCGCGCTCGCCCAGCGGGTGCCATGGTGCGTGCACTGCACCACGCCTGCAAACAAACACAAAAGATCGGGGTTAAATTAACAGTCGCAATCGCAATTTACAAGTACGTGTACGTGTGAGAAAAACTTGTAAAGAGTTACAGCGAAATTTTCCATGATGTGTGACTTAAAAAATACAATGTGAAATTCTAAAATTAGAAGCACCCTGTATCACGGAAAAAAAGAATTAGCTAAATTAGCTAATGCATTCGATAATATGGCCTTTTAGAATATTAGCTCCCCTGGCTAATTTTTAGCTAGGCGAGCTAATAAATTAGCCATGATAGTTGTTTACAAAATAAAGCAACTAGAGTGGGCCTAGATCCCTGTGAAAGCTAATATTTTAGCTTTCTTAACTGGGAATTAGCTAGGGAAGCTAATATTCTTATCTAAGCAGGCCATATTAGCTTATGCATTAGCTAATTTAGCTAATCCCTTTTCCCCGTGATCGACTTGGAATTCATTGACAAGCAAGAGTAGGCTTTCGAAAATTTATCACATATTTTGTAAATTTGAAAACACAAAATATTTTTCCCAGTTTGCCACAACCATGAGTAAGGTATTCTTTCTATTTGGTACTGATGATAAAATTTCGCAGCCGCGGTGAAAGAAATACTGCCCGTCATATCTCTTTTGACACACGTGTGCTCCATTCTGTATGCGAGTGGGAGTATGGAGGAGAAGAAGAAAAAAAAAAAGAAAAGAAATTTCCTTTCTCTTTCCGCGCGCGCGATAAGCCAGTTGCTCCTGTTGTAGAGATTTGCATCGCACAGCCAAAAGGCGCGGCCCGGGCCCCATTGTGAATACAGAGCCCGCCGATCGAGGCGTGGCGGGGCGTGGCGGGGCGTGGCGTGGCGGGGCGTGGCGTGGCGTGGCAGGGCGTGGCGGGGGCTCTCTCCTATGACCGACCTGCCCGGGCGGCGTGGCGCGGCGGCGCGGGGTCAAACAGCCGTGACCCCGTGCAGCATTCAGCCACTCACGCGACCTAGCGCACGGCTTGGCCGCGAGAGCCCCCGGGAGGTTAGGCAGCCGCCGGGCACCGCTGCTCGACAGGCCTGCCTACCCTGGCGACGGCAGGCGCCCCGGCGGCGGCCCTCGCATAGTGAACTGGGACAGACCCGGCCAGGCCCCGGGCCGCACGGGGACAAGGTCGGCGGGCGTGCAGTGCCGCGCCATTGTGTACTCCGGGGAAGACCGTCTTGGATCAGCGCCGACTGACGAAGCGGCGCGCCCGTTTGAAAGCCTATAGTAGTCGCGCGTCTTTGCGGCGTCCGTTTTCGACGCAGTCGTTTTTTATTTTCTCCACCCATCCATCGCTGTCCCCACCTCACCTTACCCCATCTTCCCAGTCCCACCCCGCCCCGCCGCGCCCCGCACCCCTCTCTATTTATCGGACCGTAGCATTCCGTTGGCACCGCTCGGCCACACCGGCCGCACACTACTGGCCTACTGCGCTCCACCAGTGCGGCGCGGCGCGCAGAGATTTATGGCAGAAGCGATGGGAGGCGGGGCGGGGAGCGGGGTGGAGCGGGGCGGAGTGGGTTGGCCTGTAAGGGCGGGGCGCGGGACGAGCTCTCCGCAGCAGCAGCAGCAGCAGTTCCCCTTGCTCTGTTCTCTCCTCTCTTCTTGTAATTGTAATGAATTGGCCGCATCAGGGTAAACGGTGGGAAGAAGCGGGGATCAGCAGCGCAGCAAGGGGAGAGAAGTCTGGACAAGGGGGAGAGAAAACGCAGAGGGCGCTGCACTTCTCTGGTGCGTTGCAACGACAAAAACAAGGCCGAGAAAAGGGAGAGAAAAAAGAGGAAGACGCTCGCTCTGTAAAAGATGTTTTTTTCCTCTTTTTTTTTTGCCATAAGGGAAAATTTGAATCGCAAATTAACGCAAAAATCTCCAATTTCTATCACTTGCCTTAACAATCCCTACGTTAAGAAAACATTGTCATAGTATTTTTCTTATTTTGTTTTTAAAGTCCTGTTTGAAAGGAGTGGAACATTTTTTTGGCGAGGTGTCTGCTCGGGCCCGCTGTGGTCGCGGGCGGTGTCGCACCAGGCCGAGCCTCTTTTCTCCTCTCCCTGTCCTGCCAAAACAATGTCGGCCAGACCGACCACAGCGCGGCGGGGCCCAGCGGGGCGGGGACGGGACGGACCAGGACGGCTGAGCCAGACCCACAGGAGGGATGGCACGGCGCACCGCATCGCTCGGCGTTTTGCAGGGAAAATTGTTTGACCCAATTATTGAAGCACGGCGAAATAAATACTGCGGCAACTTCTTTTTAGGAGGTTTTCGAGGCCGGCGCAGCAGCGAGACGCTTTTGCAGCGCGGTGTGGCGGGGCGAGGCGAGGAGGGGCGGGGCGAGGTGGTGGTTGGGGAGACAATTCATCAACCAGACCTCACCTTTTCACTGCACTCATGTTGCCGCTCCCCTCGCGCTGTGTGTGTGTGTGTGTGTGAGTGCACTTTTTTGTCGTTCGGGCCGTGCGTTCCACTTGCAGCGCGGGGCGGCCGGGGCGGCGCAGCATGGCGTTCGGAATGATGGCCGCCCGGCCCGGCCAGGCCGCGGGGCTGAGGAAGTCGCGGTCAGGCTCTTAATCTGGGTTAATGCGCGGTGACAGCGAGCAGCCCGCGCGGCCGCGAGGAGGGACTGTCCCGGCTGTCCACGGCTGTCCCCGGCTGTCCCCGGCGTCCCGTCGCCGCGGGGGGCTTCCCTGCTGTCCTGTGGCCGCGGAGAGCGGAAAGGAGCGCGGTGCGTGATTGTGGAGCGTTTGTAGCGCAATTATTATTGGTAGATCAGAGAGGCCTCTGGAGCCGTGAGCGAGCAGCAGGTCGCTGGGAGGTGGCACAGACAGACAGACAGACAGACAGACAGGCAGAAAGACAGACAGACAGACAGACAGACAGACAGACAGACAGACAGACAGACAGACAGACAGACAGGCAGACAGACAGACAGACAGATAGACAGACAGACAGACAGACAGACAGACAGACAGACAGACAGACAGACAGACAGACAGCTCAAACTGAGAATGAAACAGGGAGGGCAGTGGTAAGTGCGCCCGTCACTGTTTGGCTAGCGAGGGGAGGGGGGGGTGTAACGGGCACGATTTGGTACACTGCGCAGCGCAGTCAGAAGAGCCGACAACGGGGGAGCGCCGGCCCGAGCAGACCGACAGCGGGCCTCGCGACCCAAGCCGCCTTGCACCAAACACAGTATACAGCCCTAAAGGCCACCATCGGAGAGGGAACGTGCACGAGCACGAGTATAGTGTGCACGCGCGTGCATGTGCGTGTCGTTCGGATGGGCGACGACTGTTTGAGAACAGTCGACGGGAGGCGGGAGGCGGCCTTGCGCGGCTGCGGGCGTTGGCCAACTTGACGGTGTCGTTGACCCCGCGTCGGCGGCTCGGCGCGGGCGGCGGCGGCGGCGGCGGCTGGAGACCTGCACGCGGGGCGCGGACCAGAGCCACCTGCAGCAGGGATCAGCTCCGGTGGGGGTGGCAAGATTCAGCGCTCTACCATAACTGAGCGCCCCAAGGATTTTTTCACACCTGATGTCGCTGACAGATTGTTTTGGTCTTACGCCGGTTTTTCGTTGTCATCTTCTTAAGCCTGCGTTTAACCCGAAAAACGCACGACTTTGCTCATATCGCCCCTTTGTTGACTACTGCAACGTCAGAAAAATTGGGTCACGTCGAAAGGGGCATTTGCTTGAAATATAGGTCGATTATTTGCAAAATGTGTGCTGCTATCATTTGAAATGTGTATTCCCATGGCAATACATCAAAACACCACCCACACACACGAATGCACGACTTTCCCAAAGTACGTGTTCCCCCTCTGCCTCAATCGAATCTGCATGAATCACCCATACGCTCCTGTCGCCCGGCCGCTGCTCCGCTCACTCTGCCCGCCCCGCTGTAACGCTCCCCGCTCCTCCCACACCCCTCTCTCTCCACCACCGCCCCAACCGCAAGAGAAACGCGCCGCCTGCAGCCGGCTGACCGGTTACAGAGCGAGAGACGAGAGACGGCCTTCACCTCTGGGCCCGTCCCGCCCC